TTTTGGCGTTCCCAGGGTGCAGATACGGTATACGCTAGAGGGCCATCATATTTACATGTGATATATAGAAAATGTTGCAGTGGCAGTGGCAGTCGCAGGCAGCCGCATACAGGGAAGCAGTTCTTCTTCTTCCATTTCTTTTTAGCCGTTTTTTGTCCTGTCAAAGACTGCACCAACTGTTTGGCCATTTGTTCTGGGAGACAGAGAGATAGTAGAGAGCGGCAGCAGCAGCAGCAGCGACTAGAGACTGGTTACACGACGAGCTTCGTTTTCATTTTTCCATGTCATGTGTCAGCGCAGCGTCTCGCCCAGCGGCAATCACAGACGTTGCAGGACGCACGCTGCACACCACACGCCACACGCCGCACGCCGCACGGCACTCGTTCTATGCAAATGCGAGTATAAATGGATAACTCCATCATCGCAATTCATGCCACTGCCGCTACTGTCGCTGCTGCTGCTGCTGCTGTAACTGCTGTAACGCAACTGTAACTGCCGCAGTAACAGCCTCACTCACACTCGCACTCACAAAGCGCTGTGGCAGTAGTCGTTGCCATTGTGTTAGTAAGTAGCAGTAGAGCCATGACCGCGAAGCGACAGTCGCAATCGCAACAATTGTGTTTGCTCTGGTCGTCCTCGACCATCCGCTGCCACCAGGCCTCTGTCGCTTTCGCTGTCGCTGCCTCTGTCTCTGTCTCGGCCCTTTTCCTCCCCGCTGCCTGTTCCACTGCCTCTCTGACGACTGCTATTCTTTTTTTGGCCCTTCTGCTGAGTGCAATTTGGCCAACAGCAGAAATTATGCAAAACGAAAAAAAAATGGCATGCAAACTTGGCATAAATCAATAGAAAATTTATACGTTTCGCAAAAGTGAACAGTTTTAGCGTGTCTGCAGCGGAGGTCTAGAATTTCGCGTGTTCTCCTCGTACTACGAGTAGTTTCCTTTTTTTGGGTTCTTCTCTTTTAACATGACATCTGAAATGATATTCCCTTTGTCAGGGAAAATTTCCCTGCTGAGTTTAAGTCCCCTAAATCACTGGATAAGCACATTGATGTTGTCAACAGCCGGGATTCGGATTCTCTTTAGTATGCAAATCAGAGATTTCACTTTGCAAATTAAAGTCGTCGACATTTTTGGGTAGTGGGATTTCAGTTTCAAAGAAAATCAGGGTTTAATGATCTCAAATTAGTTGATATCTTAAGCAAAGGTTGCTATCTAAAGGTCCTTCTATATTTATCATGATAATTATAATAAAGAAAATAAATAGACTCATAATACGTATTATTAGTACTCTGCATAAATAGAAAACCCCTTAAGCACTACATTGTACATAGCTTCGAGTCGCTAAAGCAATTAATCATCCATTGATTTCCCAGTAGGATTTCCAACTTTCGAGTAACTTAGCTCGTCTAATGGCCCCAAGGCAGGAACAAACACACGGAGAAGGCAGAGAGAGAGACAGAGAGAGAGGGAGAGTCAAGCCTTACATTGTCAAGAGGAATCGAGGCGCTTTCCCATTAGTCGGCTTAGCTAATTATTAACTGCATTAGATTCTGACAAATGACAAATTGCGTTGCCATACACCATACACCTTGTGTGGGCTCCGTGTTCTTGATTCTGCTTTCCTCCTCCATGTTTTCCTTGTAGCACATACGAGTATGTATGTACTCTGTTGCCGCTAAGTATTTTTGACAGAAAATTAGTAGCTCAGAGAAAGAGAACGGTAGGGAAACACACCCAACACATAAACACCATTCAGGTAATATATTCGGCATAAGCTCCGAAAAATTTCCAACACTTTGGGCCTGGTCATTTATCATTAAAAATAACCATACTGCGAAAAGCGAAATGCGTAATTATTGGCTTGCGGCTATGTGTGGCGGGGGGAAATGTAGGCGAATGATTGAATGTGTTTCATCAAATATGTAACATGAATTATAATTTTTACATATTTGCGACCGCCGTCTGCTCTTCATACGCGCCACAGTGTCGTTCTATCGGGCAAAGAAATGGAAAGCCCTCGCGTGCCTAGACCAAATCCAACATATTCCGGCGAGCAGCGAACGACAGCAAAATGAGCTATGGAGAGCGCGCCAGAAGTGCCGATTTGTGGTTTGGCTTGGGGCAGCAGCTGTGGCAGGGGCAAGGACTAAGTGTGCGTGTGTGTGTGTTTGTGTGTCTGGAAAGGTGCCGGCCTTCTATCTGCATACATTGTACATTGTGTGTGATATGGAAGAGATCTAAAGTAGGCACACTTGTAGGGAACTGGGGCATAACGCACTCAACGCGGCATAAATTAAAATTTGTATGCCAGCGCGTTCTCTCTTCCGTACTACATACGGGGCTGTGCTCCGATTTTTGCTCTCTTCTTTTCCATTCTGTTGTGTTTCCTGATGTGTTGTGTTATACTAATTCACAGCTCTCAGTCCTTAGTCCCAGCGCCGCAGCGGAGTCGGGATTGCGTGGCAAGTGAAACACAACACGCACACGGATCGGATCGGAGCAGAGCGTGGCACGAGACAGAGGCGAAAAGCTCAGTTTTTAGTGGCCTGGCGGCGGCGCGAGTCACGTTATAATTCGCTGGCTAGCAATCCAAGCCGCAGGACCGACCGAGTGGCATTCATTTGCTAATCAAAACAAATGAAAACAACATGAATTATGGCCAGAAGAAGCAAAGGCTAATAAGGGTTAAAGCCGCAGAGTTCAGCAAATGAAATACCACCAGAAGGCGTCCCACACACATGTGGCTTCCACACATGGGCCTGCGTGTGTGTGTATCACATTTTTAATGAAATTGTTCAAATGTGGTTTTGCCTCTTGCAACATTCTCCAAGCTCTGTGACATACGTAATTTGAATATATGGCACTAGGTCTTTGTCCCTGCCACAGGTCAATGTTGTTGGGTTTGGTTATGGGTCTGGTTCGGTGGTGCTGTGTGGTTGGAGGCTCAACTATTTCTATTCGCTATCCGGTCTCCGCTCATTGCCATTTGAAGCTTTCAAGCCTGCCAGTTTGATAAATAATGAAGTCATATGTCTAGAGTTGAATTTTATACTATCACGCAATTGCCAGAGCCATAGGCAGGGCCAGAGCCAGAGCTAGAGCCAGACCAGACCAGACCAAGACTCGCTGAACGCTTCCTCCCTTTGTCTAACAAAACGTCGTACATTGTATGTGACGCCCACATTTTCGCAACTTTTTATGTAATCGTAAAAATATTTTTATGATTTCATAATTTTACAGTGTTCGCCGGGGGCCGGGGAGCCACTTGTTTATGACCCAGGGCCCAGTACCTTGCGCCCTGCCCCCTGCCCCTGCCCCCTGCCACCCCTACGCTGTCTCTGTCCCCGTTCCTGCAAATTTGTGGCATTTTTATTTTTTTTACTTTTCTCTTCTCTGGATTAATTTTGTAATTTTCCAGTGCGGGCATGCAGCAGTATCATCTCTCCCCGGCTAGTGGTACAAAACGGTGCTTTAAGATCAGGCCAAACCAGGCCAGGATCTGGCTACCGCGAACGCTAATCTTAGCCTTGACTCATATCGCAGCATTTTGTTTGAAATTTTATGCAAAAAAATACCATAACCCAACTGTAAAAAGTTGCCTTGCTACAAGTACGAGCACGGCATGCTCAAATGGAATCACAGCGGGTGGCCCACAGCCCGTACTGTGTCCTGTCTGATTCTATTTCTATCTAAGCATACACACGTGTGTGTGTGGGGAATAGACACATACACATACACACAGACACACGGATACACATACCATACAAGATACAAGCACCAGCCAGCATGTATTTGTTTAAGGCTCGGCTACCTTTCAACAAGGACAACAGCAGAGCAGAGCACACCGCTCACAGCTTGAAAAATGTTTGTTGTCAACATTTTCAGTTTGCATCGTTAGCTTAAAAGCGTGCGGCAGGGCCCCAGCACAATGGGGGCGAAAATCGATAAATGAGACAAACCGTGCGATTTAGCCCCCAGCACCACAGCACACAAAGGACTTTCGTTTTGATCAGAAAATAGAAAACTGAGGTTACACCAAGGCCACTCCATTGGGTGTGGTTCAAGTGTCGTGAAAGCTGTGTCGTTCGCTCAAACAGAAATTAATTATTCCAATGAATTTGTTGAGTGAAAAAAAGTGAAATAAAAGTGAAAACTCTGGGAAAAGTTTATGAATATTCCTGTTAATGGCTTGGCCTCATCCGCAGTGGGGCAAGGGGTGTGGCAAGTAGATGGGCTCACAGCTTTTGGCTCACAGCTGCGTTTCAATCATAACAATTGTAGGGAATAAATAAATACATAAATAAATGTACATGTCCAACAGGTATCAGCCGCAACGCCTCTGAGCGTATCCCTCGTCTTGTGCCAAGGAGCCAGCGACCCGCCTTGGATTTAGAACTTTCTATAAATATTTCTCCTCACTGATGGCAAAGTTATGGCAAACTCTTGCAATTAAACTGTCAGACTTATGAATTCATTAAATATTTTAATTGTAGCTTTTGAATAATTAAAATTCCATTTATATGGCCGCACAGACACACCCACTGCACACAGATACACATACCTCAAGCCATAAATCTGCGATTAATTAAAAGCCCCGTTGCCGTTCCCATTCCCTGTCCTCCGCCCTCTCTGCTTGGCATCCAACTTTGAACATCCCGGGTGTATACGTAATAGCAATTAAACTTAATTACAAAAACATAACCCAAAACTCAATTGCAAATCGCTTCTGTGGTGGACTCTGCCACTCATTGCGCCCTCTATTGAACTGGAGAACTCGTACTGAACTGTCAGTGGCACGAGCGATTTGCAATTTATGCAAATCACTGCGCTCAAGGTGAGCGCAGGATAACAACGTAACCGTCAAAAGGGAAAAGGGGTAAAAAAGGAGTAGCCAGCTCTTGCTGTCGTTCTGTGGATTGTTTTGCTTAACTTTGCATTCTAATCACATTTTCATTCATATTCGAACTCGAATTCGAATTCGCGCTCGCCACCACTCACCTGGATCGTCGTCGTCGTCCCAATCGATTTGACCGGAAGTTATATTGATGTGAGCCGCAAATAGGAAGAGCGTGAATAAAGCCAAATGGCGCTGCCAGCAGCGTCTGCTGGCATTGGCATAGGAAGTTGTTACGTGCATTGTGGAAGTCCTTTTAGCTCGGTTCGCTCTGGCTTTCAATTCTACCAAATCCATTGTGTAGCGTATAATAATTTATATGCAGGTTGTGCTCGTTTATTTTGCGGCTTTCGCTGCTTTCACTGCCGTTGGGGCTGGTGATTGTGTGTTGCTGATGTTGTTTTCAATTTAATTTTCTCAAAAAAATGCAGCTACTCTCACCCACACGCAGGAACACACTTATACACACAAAGAGACGCGAGCGCGAAAACAAAAGTTTTTCCTGCTGCTACTGCTGAGGCTCAAAGGATGCCTGGGTCGGGATCGCATTAAACCTTTCGCTCGTTCTAATAAAGCAGCATGGGCAAGCGAATATTTCCTAAAATTCGTTGTAATGCCGACCGACTTTCTCCTTCTCCTTGAGCTTGAGCTGGAGCTGATTCTGGGCACGGAGCGCGTGCCGCTTTCCTCGAGACCTGCAACTACTAATTAAGTTGTTTCATTTACAGTTTTTGCCCGGAGCATAACTTTGGCAAGGCTGCTGCTGCTGATGATTTTGCTGCCGTGTTTCGTGGCATTGAAGTGTGCGAATTTCTCCAATTCTTGCATTGTTTAGTTCTTCAGCTTTTCAATTTTCCGATTCCAATTTTCTGCAGAAGAGGGAGTAGAGAAAAGGTGAGAAAATTGTAAGAATTGTATTTATAATTACATAAATTATAAGTTGTGTGTTTTACCAAGGGGAAAATACAGAATCATTTTTAAGTGGATTAGCTAATTGCCCGATTGCATGTGCCCTCATGAGATAATAAAGATAATTTTCTCTTGACTCGATAGTTGTGTTTCCTTAACCAATATTAAGCCAGGAGATATGTATATGTGTGACCTAAATAAAAACTGTGCCGAAAGTATCTCGAATACTCGTACTTGAACTCGTAAGACTTCAGCTTCATTCTGCTCAACATGTTGGCCCCCCGCGAAAACGGAAATTAGTTTCACTTTCCAAAGCCAACAAGAAACACAATACCGTCGGCGACTTTGCTCATTGAACTCCCCTGCACTCTTCACATCATCAACGCCCCCTCTGGTGCAGACTGTTGCCTACATTTTGGGGGACGGCACGGCACTATCTGCAGTGCCTAATTTGGCATAGTTTGGGGCACCTCTCTCGACGCTCCTCTGCCTGGCTTATTATGCGCACTTCAAACTTTAGACAACGCTGCAGCAGCAGCAGCAGCAGCAGAGCCAGAGGCAGGAGCAGCAGGCACAGCCAGTGGCAACAACACCACATTGTTGTACATGTTGGCAAACATCTCACGCCACGGCTGCCTGCATATCCCAGACCCTTCCTGCCTCAGCCTTCTGCCACCCACAGGCTGGGTGCTTCCTTATGCAGGCAGCCACTCACTCAAATTTCGAGTGCAGCAGCAGCAAGGCCGCTGCAGCAAATTTTGTATACATTTCGTTTAATTTGGCCCGCTGCCGAGGGCCTCTCCCCGAAAACTTTAGCGACACTGTTTTGGAAGGGAAATGTAATACAGAAAAAACCCAACCGAAACAAACCAAAAAACTGAATAAAACGGTGAGGAGTGGAGTGGTGGGTAAAAAAAGAAAAAGTTGTCTGCCGAAATCAACGCCACTTTCGCCACAAGCATTAAGCATTGCATGCAAAATTACCAGCGAGTGGTTTGTATTTCCACTCTGATTGCTGTTTAACATGGTTACATTGTCCTTGGAACTGAATCCTGAATCCGAATCTGAGTCCGTTGCCTCACTCGTTTCACTCTTGTTTTGATGGTTGTTTCGGTAACGATGCATGTGCATCACATCTATGGTGGCGTGGCCGTGCATCATGACATGCTCTAGTTGCAAACTTTTCTGTTTCTGCTTCTGTTTTGCCACCACTCTTTCGTTCGTTCTCTTTTTCGGGGCATTTTTTGTATCGCTTTATTTATATGTATGCATATGGGACAAGTGGCACGAAAAACACAACAAAACTGAACTCAGCTGAACAGGGGTTTGCTGCATGTTGCACTAACCCAACCCCAAACTTTTATCCCCACAAACATGGCCCCTCTGCTAAGCTTCTTGCTGGACAAACTAATTTGCGCTTAGACACCGGCCACACACAGCCCCTACACAGAAGCAGAACAAAACTTTGCGCCTAAACACCCACTTGAGGTGAAGCCAGTTTAGGGGGCACGCAGCAAGCAGCAAGCGGCAAGCGGCAAACATGTGCGGTTACTTCATCAACATTTTACGCTCGAGTTGGCCGGGCCAGCCAGCAGAGGGGAGAAAAACAGCCAAGGCACGCAGCAAAAATGTATGCAATGCTGGCTGCTGTTGCTGCTCCTTCTGTTGCTTGCCTCTCACCTGGCCGGCCAGCCAACAGTAGCAGCAAAATAAACTCAACTCAACTGTTGAAAATCAACTAGCTCCTGGCTGCTACCCTACCCCCCTGCCACCCTGCCGCTGTACGTGGAGTCCGGAACAAAGTTTGCCTTTAGCTTAATGTTTTTTTACTCCACTTCTCCCTTTCTCGACCAGAGCAAACACTTGAAAACGTATGTGAGCATTTGTACATATATAAACGTACGTGTGTAGGTATATACGAGTATGTATGCGATCATGTTGCAATTTATTGGTCAAGGCTCTTCATGTGACCAAAAACCTTTGCCCAGGGCAGGGCTGAATGTCTTCTGTGGATTATATTTTGACTTGGAGATCACACCCAAGCCTTCCAGACAGGCAGTAGAATCAAATTTTGAGGATACCTGCTCTTGAAGTCTCTGCTTTAAGTTGAAAACAATACGTTCTTCTTTTTTTTTCTTGTGGGAGCCCACTTTGTGGCATCAGTATCAGCTTTGTCAGTTATTTCTTATCACCAAGCTGCTCGCTCTGCTCAGGCCATGACAAGTCATCGATTTGACAGCACGTTTTGTTGGTTAGCAATCCTCGCAGACCCCCAGTGTCGTGCAGCTATTTGGACAACGAGTTGAAGTGTTTCGCTCCACGCACTTCAATAAAAACACCTACACGTACACACCCATCCACCCAGTCGGCACCCAGGCAGCCACCAGCCACCAGTAAGCAGCTAGTTGCGTGACTAGCAGCTCCAGCGATACGCATACGCAGTGTGAGCCAGCACTGGAGCCTTGCCAGAGCTTCAGAGGGAAGTAAAGTCGAACGGTCTGGATCTGGCTCGGGCTCTGGCTCGGGCCCGGTCGATTATTGTATTTGCACTGTATTCAATTTTGTCTGTCTGGCAAAAGTTTTTGTGGGGGAGCATTCCATTCGGTCTGGCCAACTAGGCATCCTGGCTCTGGCTGTGCCATATGTTGGAGGGTTTAATAACTAAACGCCAAGTGGCTGGTAGCTCAATCCAATAAAATATTCTGACAAATGAGTGTTGTGCCCCTCCCCAGAGATTAGCGCATTAGTCACACACCGCAAGCTTGCGGTGGTCTCCATTTAATACAAATTGCATTCATTCAAGGATAATTAAAAACCGATACCAAATCCCCCTAGCCCCAAGCGGCCTAAGCAATAAGCTTCTTTGAGCCATTTAATCTTCTCCTCATACCCACACCCAACATGAAAGTAGTCAAAAAAAATACGTTAAACAATTGCGTGGGTGTTTTGCAGGCACAGACATATTGTATGTCAGGCGTTGCTTAAATTTTTAACATTTATCTGGCACTCATGCTGCTTCTTCTCTAACCCGCCCAATCTACTTGTACGGCCCGCACCACTCAGGTGTCAATGTCGCAACCCCTGCCTGGTAATTGCCAAAGACACCGAGGCCGAGGCCGGCGCCAGCTCTCTTTTGATTTTCCTATAGCAATTTCCAGATGTACGAGGCTGTGTAAGGCCAGAGAAACAGCTTTGGGCGGGGAGCCGAGGCCTGTGGGCCACACAGGCGAGCAGAAGCAGCAAATTGGCGGTGACATTGACAGGGGCGAGGTGGGGCGAGAAGGCAGTCAGGCAGGCTGGCAGGCTGGCAGGCTGGTTTGCAGGCAACTACGATACAGACTCAGCTCCAGCTACAAAGTACACAAAAAGTTTTCTAATTATTTTGTCATTAAACGCACACAGAGACACAAACATCCCCACACACACACAGCACACACACGCGTATGTATATACGGGAGCCTTGTTTACAAGCATACACATGTTTGCCGAGCTATAAAAAGGGTTGGGATATCCAAAAAACCCACAGAGGCGGGGCGGGCAGGGATTGAGAAAGGAAAGGGTCCTTAGCACGAAGCAACTTTTTCTCCTAATTGTTTCATTTCATGAAAGGAAGGTAAGATATTTCGGCATCTGTGCGTGTATTGCCCTAGGACCTTATACGCAAACAAGCATACACATACACATACACATACAAGAGAGGACGGTTATGGGCAGGGGTATGGGAACCAGTGGCTGCATTAAAACAAGACATCTACCCGCACTCGTGCCTCGTTCTCGCTGCATATAAAGCGATTAACACGAAGCGCGGTGCACAGAGAGAGGCTTGAGTGGCACCCACTCCAGAATTCGCCCGACTGCGGCTGTCTCTCCTTGTTAAACAACAATTTGTTGAATTATTATCATACACCCACACAGAGTGGAGGATCCTTCAGCAGCCGACAAGAGGTGTCCATGTGCGGGAGAGAGTGTGTATGTGTGTATATGTTTTGCTCACTTCGACGGCAAGTCAAATACGTTTAATAGCTAACTCTCTCTCTCTCTCTCTGTCTCTGTATTTGTATGTCAGAGTTACACATACATCAGCTGTATGATTATCTGGGACTGAGCGAGTGGGGGTGTTGTAATTTCATATTTTATCACGGAAAAGCCCCAACTGACTGCGACTAATTTTGCGACAAAAGTTCTAGCAATGGAATGTGCGTTTGGCAATAAAATACCGCTTGAAATCGCTCATCTGGTAAAATGTTATTAAACTATAATAGTATCACTCGATAAATTTGCATACATTTGCTAATTATATTAACTCAGTGAACGAGAATGCATTCATTGAATTCAATATATTTTTTTTGTGTTCGACTGTCCAATTTTTCTTTACAAATAAAAAATGTAACATGTCAGTATTGGTAGTTTGGGTACTTGTACTTCTTGTCGACTAAGTGCTGGCTTTAATGGCAAAAAAAACAATGTAACATAAACAATACAGATTATGAGTAGCATTGAATAAAGTTGATCCTTTGAAATTTAGTTTTAATGACAAGGCACAAATGTTTCCCACTAATTAAATAAATGGATATAAAATAAAAAAAAAACCTATTCAAATTCTATTCGTTTTACACATTTACGAATTATACGAGTATAGTTTTTTTATAACAGACTTTTGATTTAAATTTTCAAATTATTAATAGTGTAATTCAATACACAAGGATGTACATTAACCATTATGTTGTATCTGTCCATCAAAGTTCCATCAGGTCCGTGTCAACAACTTCGTGGAAGTATCTAATTTCGAAATTGAATCTATCCCTTCTCAATTCGGGATCCATTATGCTACTTAGATATTGTATGCTTTTGCTACTCCGCGGGGCACTTTCTGTTTCTGTACTACCCGGGCGGGCTCTTCTAGCCAAATTCACATTTAGATTATTCCCATAAATATTTAATTTGGCGCTCAGTTTCTGGC